AGAACATATTGAAGTATATCCCTGGAGTCCCTGGAACACTGCTAATGTGGCTCTGGGGATCCTGGCACCTACGACCCTAGTTGTGCTTACATACCCAGGCCCTATCTGGCACTGAATTATCCAGCCTAGTTGGATGAGTATCTCCACTAATGGCCCCTGGCCCAACCACTGTTATGAAAGGTTTAAAATAATTATCACAAGACAGGAACTAGTTGTCCATTTCTGTTAAGAAAGTATATTTTCTTCCATGATGTTCAGTGAGACAGATATAATTCAAAGTAAAATCCTCTAATCTTAGAATGTATTAATATATCTTCCATTAAATCATAAGTACCCGTTTTTTGCTTTATTTTTATTTCTTCCAACAGAAAAAGGCTCACTGAAATGTGTGATGTTTTTCACAAATGTGATAGGAAAGTAAGGACTTGTCTTCACAGAGGGCAGCAAAGACACCAACGCAGAAACATTTTCTGAGATTGTGTGTCTGGGATGGTGTCTTGAGGAGGAAATAGGGAATGCATGAGTGAGTCGACTTACCAAACAACCCAGATCGCTTTGGTATGAAGACTAGTGAAAACGCCCAAGAAAGAAAACTTCTTCAAGAAGCTCTTTTTCCGGTGTTATATAATCTCTCTTGAGCCCACCCTTCCCCTTTCACCTCCAACCCACATAATATTTTCAATCTTCAGACAACTACAAACATACAAAAGATGGAGTCAGGCAGGATCTACAAAAGTAACCTGTATTCTAGCCAAAATATCTTTAAAAACAAATCCCTTCTAAAGGGGGAACAGACTACGTAAGACACAATACATTTAAAATATGTATTGAAATTACAAATCAAACTTTTCCATATTATCCCAAAGTACAAAACACAACATTAAAAGGCATTCAAACAGCTCTTTTATACATCACAGTGTTAGTGGCACAAAATGTACTGACATTTCAAGAACACAAACCAAATTTGTTTTGTTTTTACCACCACTTGTCAAATACATAATGTATATGTGTGCATGACTTGTCCATGCATATTTTTACACAAGATTGAAATACACCCATGGTAAAAGGAGCAAAGAATAAAAAGAAAGAGCAGGCATGTGGCAGGTACCTACCCCTATCCAAAGGCTCCCCAAATTATGGAAGACAGGATTATACAAATCAAAGGAAGAAGGGAGAGAGCAAAGCCTTCAAGATTCAAATAGCATGATCTCCTAGCTGTGATGCATTAGCAATTATGCTTGAATACAGGCCCCTTTGCTCCATTTGGCATTTTTGGCAATACCAATTGCTATCTCTTCAGTTTGTTTTCATAAAGGGGTGGGTTAATTATAAGGAATAAACAAGCTTTGGTATTTTTTCAAAGAGACCTTTATGAAGCTTTTTACATGCAAAATGTTTCCCTCGATTTTACTGTGATTTTTTCTATATATATATGGATATATACAGGGGCATTTATTAATAAATGAGAATATGAGAAATATACAAAATTCCCACCCCGGTTCTTTTCAATACCTTAAGTTTTAAAGACTACCAAGGGAAATTTTCCTCTTCTAATTTGTTAAATAACTTTCAACTTCTGTCATATAAGTGGGAGAAAAGTCATCTTGAAGGTTTATTTTTTGCATATCTGATATTCTCTTTTCCCCAAGAGGCCTGCGTTCTTATCAAGAATTGGCCTGGTCCCAATTCTAATTCCTTATGGAGTTATATGCTGTAAAGAGTGTGTGTTCCCCTTTAAATAGATGCCAGAGGTGAGATGTTGGTACCCAGACTGTAGCTACCTGGGGGCTGAAGATGGGCAAAAATACTCAAGAAACCACAGGTTCTGTTTATGCACTGATCCTGTGAGTCTGTGTTATGCAAATGAACCCAGTTACACCATCTATGATGGTACTTGCTTAGTGTGATGATTGGGAAGCTCTGTTGATTAAGTTATAGGACATACAACAGAGAACTGGGAGATCAGACACACCCAGTAAAACCACACACCGTCGGCAGTTACCAAAGTGACTCAGAAAATCTATGGGACAGCTGTTTTTCCCAACAGCACCCCTATCAACATTAGAGTCATTTTCTGCTGTGCTCCTTTTCCTCCTGGCCTGATTTAAAGGTCACTCAGAAAATAGCCCTACATGTGCTGACATAGTGTCAGCAAGAAAGCCATCTATAAAAGTGACTGTCATTTTCTATTAAGACAAAGTGAGCTGAATAACAGGAGTAAATCCAACTACGGTGTAAAAAAAAATACAAATTTTACTAGGGAGGGAGTGACAGCAAGATTAAAACCCCAAATGTCAGCCATTTCCCACAGTTTACATTTTAGCCCGGGCATAGTTAATATTACATTCCCACGAAGTATGGAGAGATATTTTCTTACTTAAATAAAAGGAGTCAGAGAAATTGCAAGTGTATGTAAGGATTTCAGGTCAGCGCTGCTGGTATCTTTCTAGGGTACGGACAACTTTATTATTATGAAAACCCAATTGTGAAAAGTGAGGCATGCTGGATACAAAATCTCAGAGTATGTTGGTGCTACTTGGGCCCTGGCCAGCCCCAGCATCACTTGTCCCTGCCTGGGTCAAACTGCATGCTGGTGAAATGCATTAGAGGTGAAGGCACAAGGACGGCAGTCTACAATGTGCATGTGCATGATTAGGCCATGGAATCCCTCCCGAATGGATGGTCAGAGCCACTGGGAACACAGAGATCTGAGCTGCAACTAAGGGAATGCACCTTCCTATAGGCTATGGTGCTCCCGTACCTCCAAGGAAGGAGGTACTACCCCTGCGTGGACTTGTACTAAGAGCAATGAGCAGTGCTCAAAAAGGCTGGATGAACAGGGTCATGGGGAAGGGCTACTCCAAAGACTACTGGAAATAGAGTCCTGAGCCAGCCATCCTCCATGAGGATTCTCAAAGTCATCCTCTGTTCTCATGCTCTCCAGATAATTGTGTTTACACACCCTAAGCTGACCTCTCATATCTGGGTCACCAACCTCATCGTCTCAGAATGCATGGAGTGGTCCAGAAGAGCCATGCTATTAACAGATCCTGTGACAACATCTCCAGTGACAGAGACTCACAGTCCAGGTTTCTTCCAGAATGACACTCTCAGGAAGGTTCTTACTCAGCTGATTTTTTAAACTGCATTAAGATTGCAGAGAATATTTCCAATGCAATTTTGACACAAACTAGTTATCTAAATGGCTTCAGTTTCATAAAGGAAATAAACAATGGAGGTAAAGAATGAGGTGGTCCTTTTTTATCTGACCAATTAAAATTTAAGAAATAAAAAGACATTTCTAGACAGGGAGGAAAACCAGGTTGGAGACTGATACTCAAATGCAGTGATCAAGTGCACAAGTCCACCACATTTTACAAATGCTTTTGCAACAAGCAAATAACTAACAAAGATTATATATTTTATCTTCATTCCTTTGTGGAATGCCTAATATATATATTTTAAATTACTATCATAATGAATTTTCCACATTTGACCATCTTTCATTTTGAGAAGTCCCAAGTTCAATGCAATTACTTTGGTCCTTAAAAACCACTTGTGGCTTTTACAACTATAGCAGGCTTTAACAATTCTCATACTTTCCCATTTTTCAAAGTTAACTAATGTAGGAATGTGTGTGTGTGTGTGTGTGTGTGTGTTCTCAAAGAACATTTTATTCTGCTGCCATGGTATGGGTAAGGGTCTCATCCAGCTGATAAAAGACCAGGAGGTATAATCCTCTCCTCAAAATAATAAGAGGAAGAGAAAGATTTTTGATTCAGGACAACACAATTTGCAACAGAACTTGGAACTGTGTAATGCCTATGATTTCTTCAAAATACCCCAGTCATTTGAAAGTCTCTGCCCCCGCGCCTCGGTGTTCCTTCCCGGAGTCCCTTGGAGGGGAGCGGGTTGAGCTTTCCTCCCCGCCCCGGCCAGGGCTACGGCAGCCGGAGACCTCCAGGACCAGCCACCACCATGCTGAGACCACTCTCCGCACACCTGAAGGTACTGGCAGAGGGACAAAGCCACGCGGGTTCCGGGGCCGAGACCTCCAAGCCTACTCGAATTGGAGTCGAGCATCTTCCACCCAGATCCTCCAAATTCCAGTAGGCGTGGGTCACACCCACCACCTGGCCCCCTGGCGCCGTGTAATCCCATCAGCGGCCAAGACTCAGAGACTATAATATCCAGATCCCGGACGAGAGCAGTGCAGTCTCTGCCCCCGCGCCTCGGTGTTCCTTCCCGGAGTCCCTTGGAGGGGAGCGGGTTGAGCTTTCCTCCCCGCCCCGGCCAGGGCTACGGCAGCCGGAGACCTCCAGGACCAGCCACCACCATGCTGAGACCACTCTCCGCACACCTGAAGGTACTGGCAGAGGGACAAAGCCACGCGGGTTCCGGGGCCGAGACCTCCAAGCCTACTCGAATTGGAGTCGAGCATCTTCCACCCAGATCCTCCAAATTCCAGTAGGCGTGGGTCACACCCACCACCTGGCCCCCTGGCGCCGTGTAATCCCATCAGCGGCCAAGACTCAGAGACTATAAAATCCAGATCCCGGAACCGCACGGCCGCATTCGCGGCCGCGCGACATCTTATTATCTCATTCCTACTTTGGACAAACTTGCAGGCTGTCGAGTGTAGCCTGCCCACAGGGCAGAGTCTGGCAAACTCCCCGTGGCCTACTAAATATGCCAAATACCAGTAACAATGATGGGTCTCATTCTCCTAAAGAGCCCTGAATATAATCTCAGGGCTAGGATGAAAGAGACGTTACTGGGGCCTGCTCGAGGCAATCGACGATTAACAGGATGATGAAATGAAATGAAAATGAAATGAACATCCACGCAGGCCTTCTTCCAGTTTTCCTGTAGGTCCTGCCTCTAGGGATCAGCAACGATCCTCTTTCCTACTGTCTAGTTAGGGAGACTGAGGCACGCATTCAAACCATAGTGATTCCCATTAGGATGATTTCCTGGTAAAATATCTGGCTTCTGAACATATTAAAGTAATATGTGCTGAAACCTAGGTGAGAAGGGGCAAACCCTGCAAGCTTGTCTGAATCAACAATGAAGAGAAAAATGAAAGAAAGGCATGTCTAGTGATGAAGAGGCTCCTTTAAACACATCAGGATAGTCAAAGAAACGCAACCATAGAGCAACCACATTGTTCAACAGCACACAGCTTTCAGCGGTCAAAACGTCATTACAACAAGTTTCAAGAACAAAATAAAACCCAACACAAAGAGAGCATAAGGCTTTCTAAATCTCCTGAAAAGTGGCTGAGCCAGAAAAGTTGTTTAGCAATAACTCCTTAAAATGCACATTTCAAGAAAGGCATAGGATGGTTTAGATGCACCTTGTTGACTTACACTACTCGGTTGGAAAAAAGAAAAGAAAAATGCCATCTAAAAAGGATTTTTTACTAAATGCCATTAGTAATAAAAAACGGTTGTCATAAACAGAGTGCTTTTCTCAAGTGGGAATAATCGGATTCAGTCTGAAGTGAGTTGAAATTCTTAAAAGACTTCTCTCAGCAGCATGGTACCATCTTGAAGCCACAGAGAGCAAGGAGGACATTTCGCGGGAGAAGGTCCCTTATGCAACCCCCAGACACTCCTAGTCTATCGTCACTGGGAGAAAACTGTTCACTGTGCTTCTTACAGCACCTCCCTTGTCAAGGGTACAGAGACCGAGTCTAGGAAAGTGCCCTACCCACGCCAGCTTGCCTTCCCCATGCCTGGGGGACTGCACCGGGGGCCTCGGCAAATGTTCTGACGTCAGTCCCTGAAATCACGGCATCCGGCGTGACACTGTGAAGCTCAATGGGGCACATAAGGCAAGAAAGATGTTTAGTGAGAAGGGGACAGTGGGGTGGGTGGGGGAGAGCCACGCTTCCCAGAGGCAGGGGTCTTCTTCCAGCATCATGCCTCACCCTAGGTGGGTAATGGGTCATCATCGCCTTTACTGCACTTGCACTTGCAGCAAAGGACAAAGGGAGTGGCCAGGAGCAGGAACGGTGAGGCCACCAAGAGCAGGAGCCCAAATCCAGCAAAAATGCCCACGACCTGTGAAAAGGAAACATAGGAGCAAAGGGTAAGAGAACTGCGTATAAGTTCCATTAGTGAAGTACACCATCAATCCATCAATCCAACTCTCTATCATGCATTCTGTTACTCGCCATCCATCCATTTATCTTTCCATCATCACTTCACCTCTCATCACCCAAACATCCATCCCTTGCCCTATTTATTCCCTTCCCCTCACTCCACTACTCTTTCCTTCCTTTTTCTCTTCCTTTCCTTCCCTTCCCTCCAGGAACCCAAAACATTCACCCATGTATACATCTAATCCACTAGCAAGTATCTCCTGTATCAGATAACTTAGTTGGTGCTGCAAATACAGAAACACAGACCATTGCCTTCAAAGAGCACCCAGTTTGGTTTAGATAACAAGAATTTTTTTTTTTACAAAAGTACAGAGGGCAGGGCACTTGCCTTGCATCCCACAGATCCCTTACCACCCAGATAGTCTCTTGAGATCACCTGGAGTGATCTCTGAGAACTGAGAGAGGGGTGAGCAGTGAACACCTCTAGATGTGGCCCCCAAACAGAACCAAAACAATATATTTTACAGGAACTGGCATCAGGTTCCATGTAAAATAGGAACTCAAGGGGGGAAAAAACTATATCTGCAAGGGGGGAAAGGGCTTTCAAAGGAAGATGACTGATATTATGTAGTAAAGTGGCTGGTGTGAGGAAAGGCTAGAATACATCGCATTGTAAGTAGGAGAACTGGAAAGACATGGGACATTGAAGAGTGTCCTGCTATGTGTCATTCCTGGAGGTTAAACCCAAAACATTCACTGTTACACATTTTAATTTTATTTTAAACTGTGTTTACTCCAACGATGGAGCAAATGCTGCAAATACTGCAAAGCATAAGCCTCATATTCAGGCATGCTGTCCTCTAAATCAGGATAGTAAAATGAGCAGAGTTTGCTGCTCAAGTTCCTCTAGCAACTGCTTAACTCCAAAGCAGCGTCAACATTGATGATGGAGCTAGACTCCCACCTAGTGTTCAGAGTCATAAACACATGAACGCTCTAGGCACATGGATCTAATTTTATAGCTCAGGTGTCTTCCCTTCCCTTGAGGCCGGTGGTTCTCGAAGTTGACTGCACATTTGGGTCATCTGAACAGACTTAAAAATACTGACATCTGAACCCCATGCTCAGAGGCATGTCATTGTATGGACATGGTCTGCTGTGAATTGTGTCATTAGGAATATTCAAAAGGCATTAAGAACCTTCAAAGCTGCGCAGGGAACTTAAACAAGAAACCACGTTTGAGAGACACTGTGCTCTAGACTTCGATTTTCTTGGATATCAAAACCACGAGAAAAAAAAAATCTCTAGCACTCTATCAGCTCTGAAATCTGGCATCTATTAAGTTGCTGCTTTGGTAAGATAACCTGATGGCAGTTCCTGGATTGGTCTCTGGTCCCATCTCCTGACACAGGGCTTCTGAAATCCTTGTCATCTCCCTGCTGATAAGAGTCTCTCTGATTCTAATATGAGAAATCCATGTGGGCTGTTCCTGAACCTGCTCACCATATAACAATACCACAATTACAAGTTTAGACTTTCTACCTCTCTCTCCATGATGAGTATGGGGAAGGGCTAGGAATCCACTTTGTGATTAGCCATGCCTATTTGATGAAGCCTCTCTACAGATCCCAAAAGTTCAGGGCTAGGGATGTGGTTCAGCAGTAGAGAACCTGCCTTGTTCAATGCCCTGCACCACTACAGAGCAATAAAGTTCAGAGTGCAGAGAGCATCTGACTTGATGAACACACAGTTTTGGGGAGAGTGGCCAGCCTGGACAGGCCATGGAGGCATCACACTCTTTCTTCAAATCTTGCCATATCCATATCTTCCATCTGGATGCCATCCATATCCTTGATCACCCCTATATTTATTTAAAAAATATTTTTAGTGTTAGAGCCACATCTAGATGTGATGAGGATTTATTCCAGGTTCTTTGCTGAGAGATCACTCCTGGCAGTGGTCAAAAGGACTGTATGGGGTGTTGAGGATTGAACTGGGATCATTTCCATGCCAGGGAAGTTACCTTAATTCCTTTACCAGCTTTCCAGCCCCCTTTTTTTCTGGTGACAAACATTAAACCATTAAATAAACTGCATTGCTGAGTTTTGTGGGCTGCTCCAGCCACAGATCATACTTCCAAGGAGGGCATTATGGGAACCTCTTATTTCTATAACCGGTGAGTCAGAAGTCCAGGTAACAACCTGGACTTATATTGGGGTCCCTAGTAGATGAGGAGACTATTGGCTCTTGAGCCTTAGCCCATGAAGTCTCTGATGTTCCTGCCAGGAAAAATCAGACTTAAGTATCACCCAGCTCATAAGTAAGTAAGTAAAAGTAAAGGCCCTCCCGTTGATCATCGATTTGCTCGAGCGGGCCCAGTAACGTCTCCATTGGAGACTTTGTTGTTACTGTGTCTGGCATATCGAATACTCTCGGTAGCTTGCCGGGGCTCCGAGAAAGCTACCGAGAGTATTCGATATGCCAGACACAGTAACAACAAAGTCTCCAATGGAGACGTTACTGGGCCCGCTCGAGCAAATCGACGATCAACGGGAGGGCCTTTACCTTTACCCAGCTCATAAGCATCACAAATAATCACTAGTTGTGGGGGAGCCCCACTTCTCTACATGTTTGGGGACCAGAGTGAAATATTTGGGTGAGTAGCAAAGGAGACATCCAGGCAAGAAACACAGTAGGGAAGAGCTTTTTCATCACAGAAAGAAATAAATGGTAGCTTTCCTTTCCATTTTACAGCATCCCAGATGTACCAGAATATTTTGAGTTAGGTTTCTAGTTTTCAGGAACACACACACACACACACACACACACAGGCATATATCATGTTGCATTTTTAATTAGGTTGTGCTAATACTAAGGATCCATGTTTGCTACCCAGCTGGCTCAGTCCACTTGTCTGAACATAATGTCAGTGGTAGAATTTTGCAGTGTGAATTCAGATCCTGCTTTGTTAAAATCACAGGCACGCTGTATTTCAGAATATATAAAACACACAGAAACGTGTTACTTATCTCGGCTGCGCTCTAACATAATCTCAACGACTTGGAAAGCCCTGTCTATGCTGACGACGTTGGGGATTCTGTGTAGTCGAAAACATACTGAGTGCTTGACACAATGCTCAGACTGGCTGAGTTGTATAGTAAGACATCAACTCGAATTTCCCAACACAGCCTCATCTCCTGTCATAAACAGACAAGATTGTCCAATCCATTGCCCTTGGTTATGAGAGGACATTGATGATGCCAGAATGCAGGCAGCCAGCAGTGAAAATAAGACAGGAAGAGCATATCTCACAACCCAAAATAATCACTAAGTAAGCATGTTGGGAACATGGGGCAGGAGCTACATTATGGACGAGAGAGAGAGAGAGAGAGAGAGAGAGAGAGAGAGAGAGAGAGAGAGAGAAGAGAGACAGAGAGACAAAGAGACAGAGACAAAGAGAGACAGACAGACAAAGAGACAGAGACAAAGAGAGACAGAGACAGAGAGACAGAGAGATACAGAGAGACAGAAAGACAGAGAGACAGAGAGAAAACTGGAAAGAATTTCAGACTCTCAAGGGAATTATGATGCAGCACAGCATCCTTCTGACTGGTAAATCCTTAGCTTTATTAAAGCAACAGCTAATCCCTCTTAGAAAATCAGGCTGTTCAGAAACTCAGACTGATTTTTTTCCCAAACTGTACATGAATTCAGAGCACAGCACAATTTGGGGACCTCTGGAAACCCCATGCACAGCCTAACACTGGTCCCATAATCAACAGCAAATCTATATTTATAGGATGACCCATAACAGCCGCACTAACGGGAAAAATAAGCTGTCATGGGACTTAGGCACTGGACAAGCACATGATTCATGAGACAGAAGCTGGGGTGATGAGGGAGGTGAGGACAATGGGCGCTGTGAGCAGCTACCATTACTATTACTATTTCTCCATTCAATGGCACTGCATTGGCAGCTTGAAATATCTGAATGAGAGTGTCCATACAGTGGTCAAGTCTACTACTGAGGACTTCCCTCCTCCCAGACCCAGGGCTGGGTGTTGGGTGTTAATCACTAACCATCACATGACTCTCTGTGTGTGTTTTTGTGTGTGTGTGCTTGTGTGTGTGTGTGTGTGTGAGAGAGAGAGAGAGAGAGAGAGAGAGAGAGAGAGAGAGAGAGAGAAAGAGAAAAGGTATTTGTTAACTGGAACTCTGCCAGCGGTAGCACTGTGTTTGAGATAACAGTGCTACTGCTGGCAGAATTCCACTTAACAGTGACTATTAAGCAGTTTCTAGTTTACAATGAATATTCACTAGTTGACTCACCCTTTCTACATAGTACCTCCTTTTACTGCTGAATGAATATTTGTGTTTTTTTTCAATTGTAGCACATAAGAAAAAGAAAAATAAATCTTATCTCTTGGGGGGTGGGAGGAGGTAAACATATAATTAATCAGATAAATAAAAACATCTGTACAAATGTAGATTTAAGACAGAAAAACAAAATATCATGGGAAATTCAGAATGACATTCTGAAGGATACATCATAGCCAGCAGAAGTTAGGCAGTGGAGATGCAGCTGAAATATTAGGAGTGAAAATAACAAGGGCTGAAGTGATAGTATAGCTGGTAAGGCACTTGCATTGCATGAGGTCAATCTGGGATACAACCCTGGCACCACAAACAGTTCCTTGAGCCAAGAAATCAAACCTGAGTTTTTCTGTCAAATCAAGAAGGCCAGGCTCTTGTTCTGAAATTTGATGCTCTTTCATCGTGTTAAGAAATCAGGAGCATGATGTAGAGAAAGTCCACATGTCATGGGAGGGTCCTGTGTCTGAAATGGTCCTAGAGGCTTTGTGGATAATGGACCAAAATTTAATAAAAAGAATACTTTGATTCATCCAGGTACCTGGCCGGTGGCAGGGTCCTTCCCAGGGCTGTACGCCTAACTAGATCCCCTAAGAACAGCTTGTTTTCATCCTTGGTCTTCAGGGGATGGGAATTGAGGCACACCGTGTGAACCCAAAGCTGAACTGTTCCAGGCACCCAGGTACCCGCCTGGCAGCAGGGCCCCTTCCTGGAGTTATTCTCCCTCTATATATCCCATAGGAACCATAAGTTACCCTCTTAGATGGAACTTTCACTAGATTAGCTTAACTATCAGAAGCACATTAGCCAATAATTCATTAAGCCCATCTCAATTCATTCTGCATCTTAAGCAGAATAGTAACAGTGAGCGTGAAGGTCTAAACCACACAGGTCAAAATGGTAAAGCAACGCAGAAGCCCACCAAGCTTACTTATTGAAGAGGCTAGCCCAGAAGACACCAACAGTAATTAAGTGCTAGATAACCTCTCTGACAAGGAATTTAGAAGGGAACTACTGAGGATGTTTAGGGGGGGCTAAAAGAAATAATGGAAAGCAATGCCAGTAAAAGACAAGAGGATTTGAAGGTAGACATGAGGAAAATGCAAACAAGATTACAGATGAAAAGTCCAGAGACTCTCCAGAAAAGAACAGAAAATGGAAAAGAGATTCACAATCCAGGAACTGATTGTGGCAAGAGAAGATCGTGATGAAGCAAGAGAAGATCGTGACGAAGCCAAGAGGAGTAACATAAGAATTATTGGAGTCCCAGAGGGACAGGAAGAAAACCCTGATGAAGAAACTGTCAAAGACATCACTGCTACGACATTTCCAGAGCTGAGGAAAACATGCGACCACATTCAGGAGGCCCGAAGGGTACCAGCTAGAAGAAATTTGAATAAAAATACCCCAAAACACATCCTGATCAAAATGACCAAAACCTTTGATAGAGACAAAATTCTGGAAGCAGCAAGATCAAAGAAAGAAATTTCCTATAAAAGAGCATTCTTAAGATCCACAGCTTATTTGTTTGATGAAACCCTCACAGCCTGAAAACAGTGGTGGGATATAGTGAAAAAACAAACTCAATGAAATAAATGCCTCACCAAAAATACTTTATCCAGTGAGACTCTCATTCATAACAGAAGGAACAACACACAGTTTCACAGACAAATAACTGCTCAGGAACTTCACTTTCTTTTTCCCTTCAGCCCATACCCAAGAAAAGTGGCCACCAACTTGATGTGCCTCTGTAGGAACGCTCAGAGCAGAGCTGCATTCACTGACTCCAAAGCATAACTGAAGGGCAGGAGGTCATTCCTGGAGGCCTCGGGTAGTGTCCTGTCCTGAGGTATTTGTCACTCACCTCAGCAAAAGTCCCCCAACCCCTTCACCTCATTCTCTTGTGGGATATAAGACAACTATGCAAAACACTTATATAATTGAGAGAGAAACTATCCCTTCCTGGAACACTCTCTGGTTAGAAAAGTTAATTTGGAAGGATACTAGGGGGGCCTGAGTGATAGTACAGTGGGTAGGGTGTTTGCTTTCCATGTGGCCGACCTGGGTTTGATCCCAGGCATCCCACAGGGTCTCCTGTGAACTGCCAGGAGTAATTCCTGATTATAGAGCCAGGAGTGAGCCCTGAGGACTGTGAGTGTGCCCCCCCCTTCCCAAATTAAACTTCTTTAAAGAAAACAAAAAGTGGAGCAGGAAACAGGGAAGGAATTGAGAAGGAAAAGATGATGCCTGAGTAGGTCCTTCAGGGACACCGCCAGGTTGGTGGTTTTTGCCTTGTAGAGGACAATGAGACTACATGAAGGGTGAGGACTGATTCTGTGATTCTGGGGAAATGCAAATGTCAGGGTGGGAAGTCCAGGCTATGTCTGCCTCTGCATTTAATTCTATTTTTCTAAAACCTACTTGCAGCTGCCTAGTGCTACACGATGCCTTCTGTTCATAGCTTGGTACTCCACTTCCTCTCCAGCTCAACCCCGACTCCAACCCTTTCCCATCCACTGCAAGAGACCTCTAATATCCCCCAGCCTGCATCCTGAGAGTAAAATTCTGGAACTCTGCTCATGCTGTGCCCTTCTCAAAAGTCTTCTCTGCAACCTCCAGTTTCAGTACCTTTGTGATGATATTTCATAGCCATACTTGTGAAAAATGGTCTCAAGTCTTGTCTTCTGAACGAGCGCTTTTAATGTTTCACTCCAAGCTTCCCAGGGCAGAGTATAGTACAGTGCTTGGTTGCTCTCCATGGATTTCGTGCAAATTGCTACATTGGGAACTGATGGCCAGCAGGCAGCAATTTGGAAAATGGTACAGGTGGCAGGGAAAATTCGAGAAGCCAGAAAACCAGGCACACCCCCAAAATAACCTCTATCTAACTACCATTTCTAAGCACCAGACAAAATTGAGACCATATGAAGTCAGGGGGCCCTACATAGAGTAAGCATCCCTTCAACAGTCTCTTGTCACACTTTGTCACACTTATATACCTCCCTTGGTTTTCATAACACAATTATTCCAGGTTTGAAGTTCATTTTCTGCTTTTTTTCTTCTTTTTTTTAGTAGTACATGCATGTTTCCCCTATGGAACAAAGGAATGGTTCCACAGTTCCAGCTGACTGCCTTTCCTTTCTCTGATGGCCACACACTCTTGCTGGTGACGAGTTTGCATTATGCTTCACAAAAAGTAAAACTGGAACCTGAGCAACTCTCACAAGATTCCAGAAGGATGTTCCACAAAGCAGGCTCCTTTCCCCCTATTCACCCATAAGTATAGAAATTAGCAGAACAACCAAGGATGAGTGCTCCCTCCACAGCCAAAAAGTACTATTCAAACCCTGGAGATGTATGAGGGGACTAATATTGGTAGTGACTTCGTCTAAGATGTTACACCCATTTCGTAGAGAGGAGAGAATTTGGGTCAGCAGAGCTGCCAGTGGGAGAGAGTGAACGCTTGAAGGAGAATAGCATGGGCAAAACAGAGGCAGGGGAAAGGGGGAGCAACCCAAGTGGGAGCTTCAGTCTCCAAGAGAGAAGAAAGTGGCTGTGTCAATCCACTGACAGGTCACAGAATCAGTCATTCCCCATCCCTGGTCACACACTGAACTCTAGCTTCCACCACGACTGATTCCTGAGTTCTCATAAACACTCAGTATTTTTATAAATTTGATGGAAGATAATAAAATTTGCCTTGCCGCTTAAAAGGCTTCGCAGTAAATAAAAAGTGAAACCTCATGCACAGAATCACTCAATAATCAACTCATAAGCACTTTCCAAACAAAAAACCTATTTCTGTGGGGGGCGGGGTGGAGGAGGATGCCAATTTTACCTAAACTAAGGAGAATCACATGGGAAATGAGGAGTTTCTAATACCCATTTCGTGACTTCATATAGACAAGCAAATTACTATGCAAAATTACTATGCAACAATGAAAGTGCCTTTTACTGAGGGATATTCTCTCTCTCATGTTGGAAAGTGAGGCTGGGGGAGAGAGTATCTTGTGGGGGCTGTCTGCACCGTGTCCATTTTGCTGTCAGCTTCACAGGCTTTGCTAGGCCATGTGATGCTCTTCACTTTGCATTGCATACTGGTAGTTCGCTCATAGTTCACTGTTGGTCCCCCAACCCAACTGTACGCTGTGTAACTGCTCACTGCTCTTTTCCATCTCTAGGAAACCCTGACCCACTGAGAGCCATGGATACCTTTGTGATGAATGACCTATACCTGTTCAATCCTGCTAAGACCTAGAGGCACCTGCGACCAGAGTGTCCTCCATGCAAGGATGTCAGAGTCCCACTCGGAACCCGGCACTTGGCAGGCAGTTCCTCGAGCTTGCCACCTGACAATGCAGAGAAGGGGACTGACAAATATTTCAAGGCTCCTTCCTCAACGTATGCAGAGCATATAGACAAGTTCCTGAATCTCTTACTGATTAGCACCAGAACGCAGAATAGCTAGAATTCCTAGGATCACACCTCAGTTCCTGGTACATCAAATCTGCATGGTGCATCTGCTAGAAGGCATGGCTGCCCCGGGGTTGTCAGAAGTGCAATACAGTTTCTACTCTGCACCCACTCTGTGCTACTGAGTAGACCCTTGGCCACCATGTTGCTGGGAAGCTCAAATCACGAGGAAGGACATGTGAGCATTACCTGGCCAGGCTCTTGCTGAGGCCCAGGCCAACAGCTGGGATCAATGATCCATGGTACAGTGAGAGAATAAGTCTTCACAGAATGTCCACCCCAGCTGAGGCCAAGAGGGACAGAGATGAGCTCTCTGTTGAGTCTTGTTGACCCTGCAAACTTGTGAGCAAACTGTGCAGGCCTGTTCCTACTCCCCCTGGACTGTGCCCTTCCTCTGCTGGCTGGTCCTCATTGCTCATCTTACCTACCCCAATGGTCAGCTCCTCAGTCACTCCCCACTCCTGAAGGCCTCACACAAGTTCCCCTTCATGCACTAATCACCAAGGCATATGCTGCTGGTGTACTGCCTCTGACTCTACATGGAATGTCTCAGACATATCTAATTCCCAAACTAGTTCGAGCTTCGAGAATAGAATCCGGCACACAGTAAGAAACAAATCAGTGTTGAAAGCATGATTATTACCACACAGGGCCTTTTGAACTCTGCGTATACCATAGTGCTACTTGGGTATCCTTCTTACTCCCTAGCCCCACTCCCTCCTGGGAGTCCTTTCCTGCCTCTATAAAAGCTGTCTTCCGTCAGGCTATGGAAGGATTAACTCCCCCAAAGTATTAGCAGCATCGTAAGCAAAGCACAAGCATCGTAAGTCTTCTGTTAAAAATCAGCCTGGGCTAAATGTACAGCCAGTAGCCACTGCCTTTGCTCAGTGGCTTCCTATAAGAGAAGAACCTCATCTAACTTGTGATTTCCTAGTTTTCTGGAAAGAGACACAATCACACATGTGCACATATATACACATTCTTTCTCTCTTTCTGTCTCTCTCTTTCACACACATAGAGCCTACACACACACACACACACACACACACACACACACACACTCTCCAGGTTAGCTGCCTACCTGTGTCCGATGCCATATCACAGATGCTCGGGAATGTCCCAGCTTGTTCCGGCAGGGACCTTTGTCATAATGGATCAAGAGGAAATCATCCTGGGAAGCAAGAGAGAATAATATTGATGAGAGATTCCTCCCAGTGTAGAGAATGATTTCTGATTTCTGTCTGAACCAAGCGCTCTCTCTCTCTCTCTCTCTCTCTCTCTCTCTCTCTCTCTCTCTCTCTCTGTCTCTCTCTTTCTCTCTCTCTCCCGTTTTGATCTGTAAGATTAGAAGTCCCTGTGGGGCAGCCTGGCTGGCCTCGGGGAGCAATGTTGCAGAGTTTTCCAATCACCAGCTACGGGGCAAGCTGGGAATGGAATTGGTACCTCTGCCAGGTTTACTTTCCCTCCCATCTCCGAAGCTGGCAGAAGACGAGCCATTCTCCAGACGCGATCCTAGGAGGTCCCAAGCTTCTATTTTGACAGTGGGAGTGAATGAAGACATGAGAGAGTAAATGTGACCAAGACACATGGTGCAGCAGGATCCTCCCACTCTCGCCTCAGCCAGCGGCTGCAGGTGCTTAGAGACCCACGGGCTCCTGCCCAGCTCCTGGAACTCCTGGATCCAACTTGAGCACTAGAGGGAGCCCTGCTCCATGCTCAGGCCCAGCCTGAAAAAGGGTTGCTGGGCTCAGAGGCCATCTCGGGATTCCCAGGGAAGAGAATATTGTGCTGATGCAGGGCTTCTGGACAAGTAGGTCAGAGGCTCTCTCACTACTCTAGACGCCACCACTGGCCCCAGGCGGTGCTCTGCTGGAGTCCTTGTGCCTTTGCTCCTTCCTGTTGCCTGGCAGGATGATTCCTGGATGAGACAGTTTGTGTTATCTCTGGTCACTCCTCTATCAGAGCCAGAAAATTTACTGTAAAGCACCTTCTCACAGCAGACAGCTACAATTTTCATCACTCAGAACAGGCTTGGGAAGGAAGCATCCTTCCCTATACCTTCTGGTCTGGCCTGGGGAGTCAGATCCTGGGAAACATCCCAATTCTGTGCCTGCTGGTATTCTCAGGTGCCCCCCGCCCTTGACTTCCAACCAACTTCTCAGAACAGCCCGATCCTCACACCATCAGCCTCATAGCACCGGGACCTGCCACCAGAGTGAGTCTCTTGACTCAAGTTCCCTGATTTAGGGTTTAGCACCCCCAGACCTCACCTACTCTGCTTGCAAGAATGGGATTTTGCTCATTTTTGTGAAGGGGGGCACCTTGGCAGTGCTGGGAAGGCTCTTTGGTGCCAGGGCTCAAATCTAGGGCTCCCACAGTAAACACAAGGGTTCCAGCTCTTTGAGCTATGTGCCCAGTCCAGGAATGGAGATTTTTCTACAAAAATTGGTTGTTTCTCCCCAAACTGGCAGCGCCTCTTCCCTGTCAGTGAAGGCCAAGAGAGGGGTGGCACCAAGTTCACTAGTGCAGCGGAGTGCGTAAACAACCTCTTTCTGACAGAAGAGTAAATAAGCCCAGAGTCCAGTGAGAAGACAGTCCACGGCTCAGCCGGGAGCAGGGTGCAGTACCTACTGAGGGGCCCCGGAAATCATCCTGGGGCCACAAACAGGCACCTGCTGGTTTCACCGGTGGGACCTCGGGTGCCTGAACATACAGCCAGACCCCAGTTAAGGCTGGAGCTGAGGCTTTCAAGGCAAAGGAACAAGCAGCCTCTTTAGAGAAAGGGTCTTCGGATCTGTCTCACCCTTAGCCCACCCTTCTTTATGAGAGGAAGTTCAGCCACAGGCCAGTTGCGCTCAGTGTGCTTCTAGCTGAGCTCTGGCTTCTAAGAAGCTCATCCTGGGTCTTTAGCCCTCAGGGAAACCTCTCCTTCTTTTCTTTTATGCTAAAACTTATTTGAGGTGCCCCCCCCCCCCCCGAGATTCCTGCTCACAAGTCTATGTTGTAATTTCCCAGACTTGCCACCACTCTCGGCTCTTGCATAGTCGTTTTGCATTCCCTTTCTGAAGTTCAACCTGGGCAAAATTGCACAGGGCACTGGGCCCGGGAGATCACAAGTTCATGGACTCTGCCAGCCTTCTAGAGCAGCCCAAGACTGTCCACACCCCAAGTGGTGTGGCTGGGAAGACTCCGGGCCTGTGTCTTGCTTAAAATGAACCCTTGCTCCAGCAGCATCTTGCTTCTCCCTGACAAAAGCACTCTCCAGCATTTTGATAAGATACCAGGGTTTGTGTGGTGAGGGCAGGTTCATTGATTAGGCCTAGACACAGCTGCCCTGTGGGAGGGGAAGGTGGTGAGGGTCCTTCAATGCATCCCACCAGATCATTTTCCCTCTTGTTGTTCAGAGAAGTTTCATTAACCCCCTGGGTGGAAGCAGAAAAAATGGGGCCAGCATTAGAAAGCAATCACCAACAATCATTGAAGATGTTCCAAGATAAAAATAAATCCCTCCCGGCAATTTTACCAGACGGTCTGAGCAAAGGTTTGAGCTTAAGTGTAAAATTAACTTGCAGTAGGTCCAACCTAGAAGGAGGACTTGGCTTTGAGAGTCTGAAAAATGAGAATTCCTGTCGGTTCCTCCCTCCTCTGAGGCCGGAGGTGTGCAGGAGGGAGACGACTGACAACTTCTGAGTTTATTCTTGGCAAAAGAAGGATGCCAGTCCAACTCTTGCAATAAAAAAAAAAAAAGATGGGATGTATTAGGTAAAACAGATCATAAATATTTAACTGAGCGGGAAGGTCCTGCACAACTCTATGTCATAAATGCTTTTCATTTATAGTGTAGAGAAGAGGAAAGACTGGACCACAGCAGAGTGGACACAAAGGGCTGGCTAATGAGGAGGGTAACAGGGCTATCAGAGGAAGGATGTTCACTAAATAAACAATGACTCCCCTTGCCAGATTGGGCAGGAGATTGTGCCTCAGGTGGGGAAGCCTCTAGAAGAAAAAAAGCAAATAAAATACCCCTTAACTCTCAGAATACTGCATTTCCAGCCTTATCTTAAACACTGGTCCAAAATCCAAATCGGCTATTGCCTTTGATGAACTCACCCTTTGCTTTAGAAACTACCATCTAGAGCTTGGAGGTCATTTTCTAGAAGCCTTTCACTTAGCAATGAAATAGGGACAGAGAAATCTTTCAGGGAGAAAGTGCAGAGTGTGGGTCTGTGTTCAGTGAGGCCATCAGGCAGGGGACCCAGTTATAGAATTCAAGGAGCCAGATGGAATTCTGCAGAGACCAGAACGGCAAGCAAACTGCTTTGGGTTCCAGGAAGCAGGCGGTGGGACTCCCTTCCATTTTCCGGAGCTTCAGCAAGCTCAAATGGAGGCACAGCAAGCATGACACCAGAAATCAACCCTTCTTGAAAATCTAATTTTTTCCCCAACTCTTTGGGCCACCCCAGGCCACGCTCAGGGCTTACTCCTGGCTGTGTACTCTGAAATCCATGAGGTGAACCTGGAACTGCATCCCCTTTCCCTTTGAGAAAAGTTATTACAAGGGAAAAAATCCCTTGAATATTAGAGATTAGTCACTGCTTTCCAAAAGCAGTTGGAATATTGTGAGGGAAGTACTAATTTATACATATATACGATAGACTCTGAAGGTCCTAAAGGACACTGTAAAGCTTCAGAAACCATCACTCTAAAGATCATCTTAAAATGACCCAAGGTCAGGGAATAAACTAAGTTGGACTTAGGTTAAAAAAGAGATTAACCTTGCCAAAATAATTTACTGAGCTTGTTGAGGAGAAGATAAAGATGCTTACAGAAGAGAAAAAATGGTGGTATTTCCCAGATATTTGTTCAGTGATACAAAGTCTCCCTGTAACTTTAGTTTCTAAGGTTAATAAAGGAACAAGGGGCTTTTCAAAGTAATAAGCCCCAAAGAAGCCATCTATCCAGCTTGTTGAAAGAGGCCTTTAAATCACAAACCTGCAGCTTACTTAATATTCCATCTCAAAGAGACACTCATCTCAAATGACACTGAAAGCCTGTCCTTCCCAGTCCTCCACTTCGCTGAAGCTGGGAGCAATTTCTCCCGCCCACCCCATCCCCACCCCTCTAGCCTGAGTTTACTCTTCTAGCCAATCTGTGTTGACCTGCAGGGCTCTGAAATGATGCCTCTTTAGAGATACCCAGACATGGGGCTTGGATTTCAGACAGTCAAGGGATGGGGCAGTCTACAGAGAGGAGGTCCTGGCAAGGTCAGCAGAGATTTGCCCCAATGCCTCTTTATTTTTATTTAGGCCATGATGGGGTAAGACAAGAGGTTCTAGGCCAAGTTTGGCAAAGGAGGTGCCACCTTTGTTGTACCAGAGACAGATGTCAAGTGCATGCCAAGTAAATGATTTGATACAATACCAGTTCTATTCTTAATCACCTTCCTAACGAACTCTCTTAAGACCATAATCTCATTCATTTTACAAGATGCTCCTTCCCCTAAACATAGGTGAGAACTGAGAACCGGAAGTTGAAAAGCAGCATTACTTGCATCAGGCCTTAATGCTCCAGAAAAAAAAATGTCAGGGGTGCCCTGATGGGAGGTTGGCAGTGGTGCTCTGGGAAGGACTGAGCCTGGTGATACTTGGGAGTTGAGTGCTTGAGAAACACTCAACACCAGCCACTGGGGAAAAAGGAGGCCATTGGAGGCTGGGAAATTTCATTTGGCCAGAAAAAGGCAAGAGTTTCGGTTTTGCCTAGCTGAGAATGACATGGGCATAACTACAGTAACAGTCCCCTGGCCTAATGTGTAACTGCAGTAACTGTCCCTGGCCTAACATTCTGCCTCTGTTCCTCGATGATCTTCATAACAGTCACTGCTATGGACAGAAGGCTTTTATGTCATTCCTTCCTGTCCTTCCCCAACCCCTCCCAACGACTTATACACATTGAGTTCTTGACTCCTTTAGCATTGGTATTTGAAGGTCCCCACTTTTCGAGGTGAACTCTTGGACACTCCCATTAGTGTCCTTATGAAAGAGGAAGCGACATCAGACTTTCCTTTACTCCACCACAAGAGAACCCAGAGAAAAGGCAAACCCAAGTGCATTGTCCCCTTGAACTCAGATACCAGCCTCCCGAAAGGTGAAAAATGCAAGCCCACATCTGCCATGGCAGCTCCCAATCTATGGTCTTCTGATCTACTAAAAGAGCTGTGCATCACCACTTTGATGCCACTTATTTAGGATACCATAACTGATTCCGAAGCCTGAGCTGAACTTGCACTCCAAGGGACTCCTGTATCCATTGCTGTCCTCTAAGCAAACACTTCACTTTACAAATTCTCATTCTTCAACATTCAGAGGCAGATCAAATAGTGTGCTTCTGTCTCACAGGCTTGTTCTCTAAGTTTGTTAGGAAATGCCAGGTCAGCGTATCCCACACCAGGTCTGAACCCCAAAGGCAAAGACCTGACCAAGGTCAAGTTCAATGTTCTACTCACATCTAGGGATTCAAGGCAGTACCAGCAGAAGGCGTGCTTGCAGCTCCTGCACATCATCTGCGCGCAGCCCTCGTCTCTCTCGATGTAGACACGGCACTGGGGGCAGCGCTTGATGGGCGCGTCATCCTCCTCCAGCTTGAAGGCAGAGCTGCAGGAGAGAGTCCATTAGGGGGATGGGAGGGACTGGGAAACAGTATCAGCATCTCTTATCCAGAAGCATCCACACAAGGAATGGGATCCATGTTATTAAATGAAACAAAATGAAAAAAAAAAAACCAGCGGGTAGGGCGTTCGCCTTACAAGCGGCCAACATGGCCGACCCGAGTTCGATTCCTCTGCCCCTCTCGGAGAGCCCGGCAAGCTACCGAGAGTATTCGATATGCCAGACACAGTAACAACAAAGTCTCCAATGGAGACGTTACTGGGCCCGCTCGAGCAAATCGAGCAAAGCTCTGCAAAATGATCACCAGAAAATTGTCAATCAGTCATTTTGATTTAGAGGGGCGAGGAGGTTGAATGGCATCAAAGCCAGAAATGTGGCTGAGAGGTAGAATATGTTTTGCACATGTGTGAGGCCCTGGATTACATTCCTGGTACCAAAGAGAAGAACAAAAAGGGAGGAGAAGAACAGTATTAGCAAATTCCAAAATTTATATATATATCTAGACTTCACAACAGAGGATCTGGATAATGAAATTATAATCACACTATGTCCTTCTCGGTACATTTTCATATTTTCCAAAGTACCCCAAACTGCATGGATTTTGCTATTACCAAAAATAAATAAAAAATGTGGACCGGACAAAATATATGTAAGGACAGCAGGGGAGGAATTTGAGTGTTCTGGGGTCAGCTGCTGTAACTGTGCATTGCAAAGGCACAAGCATTAGCACTATTGTAAGTATGTGACCTAAGCTAGAGAATTGAATTAAAACCAAACTGAGTTTGCCAATTGGGTAAGCTACAGCGAGGAGCTTGGGAGTGGGACCTTGAGACAGTGGTAGATGAACTCTGACAGTCTGAAGGTGTGCGGTTGACAGTGTCTGCCTGAAGCCACTGTAAATCACTATGTCTAAGTAAACACTGGGGAGAGTCATACAATAAACACTGTGTGACTGAAACCCAATCATGAACAAGTTTGTAACTGTATATCTCACAGTGATTCCTTTTAGAAAAAGGTGTGTGTGGGGGAGAGAGATTTAAAGAATCAAGTTGTGGACCAGAGTGATAGTAGAGCAGGTAGGGTTGTTTGCCTTGTGTGGGGCCGACCTGGGTTTGATTCAGGATATCCAGTATGTAGGATGCTCAGGCAGTCCCCCAAGGCTACTAGGAGTGCTCCCTGGGTACAGAGCCAGAAGCTAAGCCCTGGACACTACTGGGTGTGTCCCCAAAACAAAACAAATGATGAAGCTAGGAGTTTATTAATAAGAAATTTAATGTTACAAGCACAGCACTAAACACACTGATGCTTCTTGTGAAAAAACTGGTTAGTAGTAGTTAGTCTTGATAAGCCTTAAGCCTGGCATCCAGGGTTGACTCTTTTACTAATCATTTCTGTCTCTACCTCTTTGAGTCTGTCTCTACCTCTTTGAGGCTGTCTCTACCTCCTTGAGTACAGTCTTACAGTCTTGTCATCAGCGTAAGCCCTATGTAACATTATGTTTGTAAAGACCCTAGTGCAACAGCAAACACTGTGTTATATCCAATAAGCAGCAACAATTCTAGGTTACAATAATGAAATGATAATAATAATAATTAACACTATCACTGTCACTGTCCTCCCGTTGTTCATCGATTTGCACGAGTGGGCCCAGTAATATCTCCATTGTAAGACTTGTTGTTACTGTGTTTGGCATATGGAATACGTCACAGGTAGCTTGCCAGGCTTTGCCATGTGGGCGCGATGCTCTTGGTAGCTTGCTGGGCTCTCTGAGAGGGGCGGAGGAATTGAACCCAGTTCAGCTGGACTGGCCACGCACAAGGCAAACACCCTACCACTGTGCTATTGCTCCAGCCCATAATAATGAAAAATAGCATAATTGGCTCTGACCATCCCAGGCTAATAAGTTTTCAAAATGGGAGCATAAACAGCAAACTGTTAGGAGAAATTACCAAAGCTTATGGGGTTCCTTCTGCTCTTACTGTTTTAGCTCACTGTAGTGGTTCAACATTAGCAGGAGACAAAAGAGTTCCTGTAGGAGAGCAATCTTTCAAAACAGGCTGCACTTTTGACTGTATGGAGATGGAGAGATGGAGAAAACTCTGGCATTTTGAGTGCATTCTGACTAAAAAGGTCTTCACAAGTATTATAGTGAGTGGAAAATGAAATAGTCCCCACTCCAGTAGGATTTATCTGATGTTTGATAGTGGATTTGCCACAGGACTGAGGGTTTTCAAAGGCACAGCCCCTCCTGCCTGAGCTCAGCGATGGGGAACCTCTGACCCATTGGTGATTTAAGGCCTAGGAAACCACATGGTCTGTCCCTCATGCATGTTGGGACAAACACATATGCTTCTCGTGAGCTGCCTGCAGTCCATCTGCCTATACTGCATAACCCACAAGTAGTGTTTTAAATATACAAATGTCCCCTTAAGTAAAAAAAAAGGTTCCACACCTCTGTTCTAGCTGGATGTTTTTGTCACTGACAGAAAGTGTCCAGTTAAGAAACTCTGGTAGGAAACATAAAGTCTCACAGTTTGTAACTTGGAGTCCTGACATAGACAAGTTCTTGCTGTACTCATTATGTATGATCAATTCTTGGTCTCCTTGTCAGCAGAAATAAAGCTGACTGCATCTCCTTTAGAGGGATGTTGTGAAGATTTAAGGAGTATGGTAAATGTTCAATGGCTGAAAGTTGTTATTAATATTATGGTAAAAGACAGTTAAGCTGTCTTCAAACTCAATTTTGACTCCACTTTAAAAGTGACAGGCCAGCCTGACCCCACAGAAAGTGATTCAGAAAAGAACCAGTGTGGTCACCAGGGGCAAATAAGGCAATACATGGAACTGCCTCCAATAGGCTCTTGGTGAGCCCTGCACAAATGCTAGCAGTGGCCTCCTGTTACGAATGGTTTTGATTTCTGCAGAGCCAGAAATTCATGAGGCACTGAATCCAATGTTTAAGGTTTGGCTCTGGGGTCAGACAGCATTGTTTTGGTATAAAAGCCAGGAGAGACCTCAAAGTCATGAAACAAATTTTCTGTTATGACTCATAAGCTAATTTTGAAGGAAATGCCACAAACAGGGACAACATTAGTGGAAAGTGAAGAGTGTCTTTGAGGGAGACTTTTCAAAATGGAAACAGTTGAAACAGTAATGAAAAGTAAGTTCTGATGCCTTGTGGCATCCAGAGAAATTTGCATGATCTGGACCAGGGTTTTTAAATATTTTCTGGTATTTGAATTAGACTTTAACAGTACTGTTAGTAATAACTCTTATCATCATCTCACATTTATGAAGGAAGTCTTTGACAATATTAGTCCAACTGACAGTGCTGCAATGTCTTTTGTGGGCAGACATCCAGTGGAAAAAGAGTGAAGCTGTTCAGGTGATGAATGGAAACGTCAGAAAAGGGAAGGTTAAACTTAAAACCAAAACAAAACTGTGTCATATGAAAGCAGCTGCGTGCACTCTCAGTTCTGAAGGACCCCTGACAGTCTTCCTGAGGATCGGTGATATAAAGGGGAATGGTGAGAACCATGACAGAATAAAACTAGCACAGTCCTTCAGCTCCAGCTAACTGCCAGAGAATGGGAATATAAGCTTACTTACATTACTGGATCTGACAGATACTCAAATGGCCATGTAAAAACTTTTGATTTTCACATTTCCACAAAATGAGAATTATTTCATCTTCCCTCTCTCTTCTCTCTTTCCCTCCCTTCCTCCTTTCATTCCTTCCTCCTCTTCTTCCCTCCTTCCTTTCTTCCAAGCACTGCTAATGATTCAATGCTCACGATGATTCAATGTTCAGGCTTAAATATACTGTGCTGCTCGGGTCCTGAGGTGCTGGGGAGTGCCAGGGTCACACTGACAGTGCTCTGGGAACTCTGTGGATCTGCCTGATTGTGCAGGGGAGTGTGTGTGTGTGGGGGGGGGGGGGAGGGCATGTGGTGCTGGAATCAGGAATCCAAGCTAGGTCCTACTCATACCCCCCAACACAGTTCCTAAATTGTTTCTTTTCCATTTTTTAGATGGCATCTCTTCATTCAGTAGTGGAGGTGGGTGTTCATCTTGTTTTTAGGTAAATATCATGACTCTTGGATTAGTGTGTGTGTGTGTGTGTGTGTGTGTGTGTGTGTGTGTGTGTGTGTAATAGACCACCCCATGTAAGACTAAAGTGACCAGAAGATCAGGATGAAGCAATATTAAGTCTCTGGGCTCCAACATCCATCATCCTCCATCTTTAGAAAACATTATGTTAGGTGATTGGGTAGGAGCGAGTCTCAAAACAGATTAACAGATCACTTATAATCTGACCATTCAGGGAGCATACTTTCTCTTGCAAAATTACGTATCAGTTAGGTTCATTCTAGCAACTGAGTACCTATTATATGTGAAAGGTCCAAGTGACAAAGTTCAAACAAGCACAGGCTGTGACATTAGGAGCTCAGACTAAGCACCCTCATACACATATTTACCATGACCTTGTGAGTGGGGTTGGGATCAAAGAGACAATCTCCAGTGGGGACACAGACAGTGAAATCTCCCTCCCTGGCAACTGGGCAGTTTGACAAAGGAGGGGTGTGAGCAAGGGTGTTCAGGAGACTGAGGGAAAGGAAGAGCATTGTGGAGGGGGATGCGGGGGGGAGGGTGGTCACACAAAATGGAGAAGAGGAGAAGGAGATGGGGAGGCACAGCTGGTGACCACAACACTGAGGAGAGTTTCTGGCTCAGAAATGGAGACACGGGCCAACTCTCATCAAGTGGAAGCATGTTTCACTGGAGCCGCTGTCAGACGGTGAAGCGCTGAGCACTAGCAAATTAGTGTGATTAAACGTGCCAAATTTCAAGGTGCAGAGAATGACAGGATGGTGGCCTGGCTGAGCATTGGAGCAGACAGGCCTGCCACTTCCTGCTTACCTGGCTCCCTCTCTCCCTCTGCAGGAGATTCAGCCATGTGACCTCAGGCACCTAGCAACACCCCCCCCCCCCCCACACACACACACACTTTTTTTTTCCCTCGTGACCCTTTGATATTTATAACTACTGCCCACCTAGTCTGCTTCCTGTTTTTTTGGGACCCTGTTTCCTATCACCCTCAACACAATGGAGCCTGGGAAAACTTCAGGCCTCAGAGGAGTAAAACACTTTATGGGCATGGACTGTTCACGTGCTTGTCTTTCTGGATCTGCAAGGAGTACTTTGCTTCTTGTGCAGTTTTGCACTCCCAGGGCCCGACAATTTCTGGCACAGAATCAGTTCTCAAACAGAACACAATAAACAAACTCAGGTGTAAATGAGGTACAGGAGGAAGACTCCGTGCTTGGGTCTGGAGGTTTGGATTACCCCTGCAGAGACGCAGTGAAGGAGAACCCTCTGTCATAGTACCTGGTCTCCCCTGGCAGGAAGGAGATGGGCATCGTCTCTGAGCAGCCTTGGCCGGGGTGCCAGCTGGCTTTGCAGGCGGAGCAGAATTCCATGTCACAGGCTTTGCATTGCACCAGCTGAGGGGTCTGTGGCCCGAGCTCCTGCAGTTGGCACACAGCCTGGCAGGCAGATGCAGGACACCATGTCCGACAGGGGTCCAGGAGCACCTCTGGCACAAGGAGAGAAAACCAGCAAATCAAACTGCAAGCAATAGATCTTGTGGGGTTGCAAATAAGGAATCACAACAGTGCACTGCTTCACTAATTCTTTTTCTTTTCTCTTTTTTTTTGAAAAATTTCTGAAAAATTATGTGAATTTTGGGGGTGGAGAGGTGTCACTCAAAGGTATTCAGGGATACTTTTCCTGGCCGTGTCAAACTGAAGATTAAATGCTAGGATTGCCAACAAAGTGCTACATGGATCTGATGGTGCCAGGCGCCGCCAGGGTCACCCTATTGATGCTAGACCATGCCATGCTCAGGACCACACTGCGACTCCTGCATGCATTCCAGCCCTTTGAGTCACCTCCCCAGTCCCGCGCTCCCATTACAACAGCAGGAGAATGTCCTGTTGACGCTCTCAACACAATAATGGTCCTCCTCCTCTCTGGCCACTTCCTACGTCCTTCTCCACTTGTGGAAACAAGCAACAGATCTCTGGCTACCCCAGAGTCCTTCAGGGATGCTACTGCCAGCACTCAGAATGCCCGAGATCCCCTGTTGCCCCCCAAACTGGCACCCCCTCACAATCTGGGAGTTTCCTGTGCAGAGGGGGCTAGACCCCCCCAGTACCCAGGCAGGCTGCCTTCACTTTCTATCCTGCCTTCCTAAGGACACAGATCCCTCAATTCAGGCCAGACTCCATGATTCAAAGCATGCAGCAGGCTCTCGAAAACATCTGCTCAAGGAATAGAAAAGGAGAAAGAAGGGGAAAGGGACCAGAAAAAGTTCTCACTGTCTGTTTTCCCAAATTCAAATCTATGCCAACAACTAACTACCATGTGAGGCTGATATGTCAGCTCCTAGGGTTCCATATCAGGAGGCACCGCAGTGACAGAGCAGCGTGATTTAATGAAATGAGACAGAAAATTTATTCTGGAAACAGGACACCTTGGCACCCCCATTCCATTAAATCTTTGTTCAAAACTTGATTGTTCAAAACTTGATTGTTCAAAACTTGCTTGTTTTGGAACCGTTGGTCCCTAATGGTCCTTCTTCAGGATCCTGGATTTGCTGACCCTCTGCAGAGGGTAACAGTGACTTCTCAGTGAGACAGAGAACCTACCAGGCTACCTTGGAGTGCAGATGGCTCTGCTAAAATCTACTGGAGGCTGAAGGCCAATGGGACTCTTGTCAAAGCCTTTCAATTAGGCCACTGATTTTTAAAGCTACTCAGCAGTAATCTGAGAAAACTGAATTTTGCTGGGGAAACTTGGAAGACAATGAAAGACTCTTGCCAGCTTCATAGCCATGTGATAGAGCAGCATCCAGGGACAATTCAGTCCACTGACATCCCAAACAGGATTTGTACTCATGTGGGGATCTATAGCAGGCTGGCAGCCTGATATGGGCTATTGGGTCCAGGCTCTTCCCCCACTAACAGGCTGCATGTGTATGTGTGTGAGTGTGTGTACGGGAGTGTGACAAGTGTGACAGTGTATGTGAGACTGTGAGTGTATGTGTGTGTTCGTGTGTTTTCCCAATTAAAGGGGGAAGTCAAACTTAGGCCTCTGGGTTACACGCTTGTATCAGATAAGGATGTAATCATCAAACGCAATGTTCCCCAAAGTGACAAATACTGACTGCCCCCTTGCCCCCCATTAGGAGGTGCTGGAATGACACAGGGAAACATTATCAGGAGCAGTCTGGGAAACTGGGAGGTGCTTACTCTTTGCTCAGTTAAGGAAGGTAGATGCATTTGGGAACCCTAAAACATTTTTTTCTATTGTACAAAAGGGGCTGTAGGCCAAATATGGTTGGTCTCTCTGGTGTGAACCAACGTTTTTCTCCAAAAGGGCTGACACTGAGGATTTATGTCTTCAAGGATCAGGCTGACTGTACCAAGGGTTCCACCCTGCTGCCATAGTACCAAAGCAGTGACAGTCGATCTGTACACAAATGTCCTAACAGACTATGGCTGGCACCAGGCCGGCTTGCACCTGGCTCACTGGCCAGGTTGGCCGACTCTGTGTCAGGGCTCAAACTCTGGCTCCAGCTTGGAAACAGGAGCTCCACTAGATGGAAGAGTCCCCTCGCTGCCCCTTCCCCAGCCCAGTTCTTGAAGGTGAATCAAATGGGGAGATTTGGCAGGAGAATGAAGAAAACTTTAAGATGAAGAAATCTGGAAAAATCCAGGAAATTCTTTTTTTCTGCACCATCAGAATTATCATGTGAAATCTGCATGACAGGCTTAAGAGCGAGTGAAGTGAACTTTGCTGTTGCCTTTAGCGGAGGGTTCAATGTTTGCTTTTCTAAGAAGTTTCTGGCCGTCAGCTGTACCCTGGTGGCTTTGTGGGGAAACGGTGGTTTGCCCCAGAGTTCCATGAGAGGGGTGGCTGCCTGTGTCCTGAGCGGTGGGGTCAGGAGGAGAAAGGGGGTGATGCTCAGAACTGGGGGGTCCTCCCAGGATATTCAGAGACTCTGGGAGGATCCGTGTAGGGAAAAACACCAAATGACCTTCCCTGGGCGACTGCGGCTGTGTGTGCTGTCTGCTGCGCAGACCTCCACTGGCCCCAAACCCATTAAGTTCTGACTGACTTTCTAACCATAGCATCCTACCTCCTTCTCAGGATGGGAGCTACATTGTTCCCCCTGGATGCTGGGGTCTCCTAAGTGCACAGTAACTGAGGAAGGAAGGGCCACCGGCCAAGAGGAAGGAAGCTTCAGTTTCATACTCCGTTTTCCTGGGGTGAGGACTGGATTCAGACCCTCAGTGACTCCAACTGCCGGGCTGAAGCCCTGCTAGTTTCCACTGCGCTGTCCCTCTTGCCCCCTCATCTTTCACAAGAGCAGCCTGTGATATCAGGAAGGGGCCGGTTTGACCCAGACTCCAGCTTGCCACCCCCCTAACCCCACCCCCCTGTACTTTTCCGGCCACGTGCCAGCTTCATTGTTGCACAACAAATGCAGCGACTGGTCTGCCTTATCGCCCAAGGCTCCCTCCATTCCATTAGGAACCACAGGATAGAGCATACCTAGTTAAGGTTTCCATGGAAACTGCTTAAATTTTGTGACTTTTGTCCCAGAGGAGCTGTGGCAGGGCCCTGCCTGTCCCTGTGGGAAGATTCCTTACTGGAGAGGTAAAGAAAAAAAAAACATCCTGTATGTTGATAGCCAGCACCTTTCCCATGCTGCCAGGCACAGTCAACTGTGAACCAGCCTCTGGCTTTGGAGTGGACTTCTATTGATATTCTACAGCAGCTTCCCCTCAGACAAATTCTGCCAGCTGGTACCCGAGTTAGGAAGGCTCAATAAGAATCTCTGCCCCGGGTGGTATTGGTCTTTTTTTCAGAGCGTATATATGCATAAGTGTGTTTCTCAGTCTGTCACTGTCACTGTCACTTCCTCCTGTTGTTCATAGATTTGCTCAAGCGGTCTCAGTAACATTGTGAGACTTGTTACTGTGTTTGGCATATCAAATACATCATGGGTAGCTTGCCAGGCTTTGCCGTGAAGGCAAGATACTCTCAGTAGCTTGACAGGCTCTCTGAGAGGGGCTTAGGAATTGAACCTGGGTTAGCCGGGTTGGCGGCGTGCAAGGCAAATGCCCTACCCACTGTGCTATCACTATCACAATTTATCTACATAGATATCTATTAATTATATTGGCAAAATATGTCATCTAGTACAGTTCGATGTATTATATGCAGCTATAAACACAAACAATATATTTTAAAACAAGGCGATCTTATTTTGTGGATTATGTTCAACATATCTGCCAAAAATTAATCTTAATTCTCATCATCTAAAGATATAATAATGTTAGATTAATGATGTAGGTCCCTAACAGCTCTTATTCTATTAACCTGAAACATAATTTTTAAAAGTTCTTTTTGGGGCCAGATATATATATATATATATATATATATATATATATTGGATAAAGTGCTTGCCTTGCATGTGAGGCTAACCAGGATTTGATCCCTAGCATCCCATATGGTCCCACCAGGAGTGATCACTGAGCTTAGTGGTAAGAGTAAGTCCTGAGAACTATCAGTGTGGCTCAGAAACAAAATAAAAAATAGAAAAGTGATGTTCTTGAGGCAAGAGAGATAACAGGGGTTAAGACGCCTGCCTTTCTTTGAAAGAAGAAATAGAATAGAAAGGGTTTATGGACCTATACAGGGCTTTACACCTCAAAAAGAAAGAATACACATTCTTCTCCTGTGAACACGGAACATTCTCCAAAATAGACCATGTGCTAGGACACAAAATATACCTCAATAGAATCAGGAAGATAGAAATAGTATCAACAATCTTATCAGAGCACAATGCACTGAGAATAGAACTGAATCACACACAGACACGGAGAACCAAATCAAACACCTGGAAATTAAACAACTCAATGTTGAACGAGTGGGTCAGGAAGTAAGTCAAGGACAATATCAAAAGATCCTGGAAGCAAATGAGAATGAAGACACGAGCTACCAGAATCTATGGGATGCAGCTAAAGCCGTGTTAAGGGGAAAATTTATAGCTCTGCAGGCATTTCTCTGGAAGGAAGAAAGGGCCCACATAAACAACTTGACTTCACAACTCAAGAACTTAGAAAAGGATCAACAAAAGGAGCCCAAATCAGGCAGAAGGAAAGAGATCATAAAACTTAGAGCAGAAATGAACGACATGGAAACCAAAGAAACAATCTGAAAGATCAATGAAACCAAGAACTGGTTCTTTGAGAAAATGAATAAGATAGAAAAATTGCTAGCAACATTCACAAAGAAAGAAAGAGAGAACCCTAATAAATCGAATCAGAAATAAGAAGGGGGATATCACGACAGAAACCAGAGAAATTCAAAAGATCATCAGAGACTACTTTGAAAGTCTGTATGCCACAAAACAAGAGAACCTAGAAGAAATGGATAAATTCCTAGATTCCTATAATCTCCCAAGGCTGAATCAAGAAGATCTAGATTACCTGAATAGACCTATTAACATCAAGGAACTTGAAA